ATGCCCGATTTGGAATCCACTTCCATCTCAAATGTTCTTATTAACGGAGAAATTGTCCCTCATAATCATACTGGCACGCTTGGATTTTAGAGCACATTAATAAACCATATAAATGCTAGAATACAAAATAAATGGGAATACCTGATCCCACTGATTCGTGTTGGTGCAATGATCTGAGTTTGGTCAACTTTTCTGTTAGTCACATCTTCTGGGAGTTAACGTTCCAGTATCAGATAGGGACAAAGAGCCTCGGGTGTGACTTCCAGACTCTAGTACAGTAAAATAGATCGAGAGTGAACTTAGCCTTGATTTGTGAGTCCCAAAGCACAAAGTCAAAATAATTCAGCAACCACAATATTTTTTAAGCTAACCTTAGAGAAGATCTTCTCATTTTCGCATTTTAGCACTCCTCCTGAGCCTTCAGTCTGTTAAGAGGGACACAGCTTAGAGCAAAGTGGAAGAGTTGTTAATTGTATGTACTAGAGGGACGGACGAATGTTTTCATTGTCCTCATCTGGGCTGTGGCATTCATTGGAGCACGTCGCGTTTGTGTAGGACCATGAAATGTTTAATACGTGTAGGACTGGATTATGGCCCGTCGAATTATAGAGTCAGATAGGCCAGTGGAGAAGAACAGGCCTCCTGAAGCCTGGGACTGATCCAAAATCTATCTGACCTGTGTAGCCTTCCGGTCACCTCCACTTCCTAAAGCCGACCTCAACCGCATGCCAGCAGCAGAGGAGCGTGGAGCAGTGGCTCCGATGGCAGACATCTCCTTCTGCGATGACAGCCTGGAGAGATGATCTTAAAAAGGATGAGTTTAAAACCATTGGGAAATTAAAAGGGACTTATGGAGAGGGGGAGAGAGAGAAGGCGCTTATATATGAAGAAAATCTGCCGCAGACTCTACGCAGTGAGTATAATAAGAGCGTTCCAGTGGTCGAATTTTCTGCTTCTAAAGAACGTGACAGTCATCACGATGTGGACCGCGTCGGACAGGACAGTCAAAATGTTGTATGTTGCTTTCGCCGAGAGTTCACATTTTCAGTTTTCGCGTATGGGGCCTTGGCTGGCTGTCCGCATGGGTCCGAGCCGTCATCGGTGAGTGGCTGAAGGAGAATGAGCCAGGGACCGCTGGCAACGGAGGTGAATTTGCCTGACGCAGTGGGATCTCGAAGAAGGCTGTCAAGCATGGTAAAATTGGCTCTTGGCGAAATTGCTGC